TAAATGTTACCATTTTCTAATCAAATTTATGTTTTACGAAGGGGAGATTTTTGAAAAATTTTCCACGGATTCCTCATTTTATGTTGCCCGCAGTACAAGATACGTTTAAGATTTTTTTAAACATCGAAATATAAAAACTAAACAATTTAATACGTTGTACGTATAGAATTGTCAATCAAATGAAATGTGCTGAAAGCGGGAGGCCACGCCAGTATTTAGTTAAAATTGCCGTAAGCCAAGGTGCTTTATTTGGTTTCCATGGTTACTGACGCTATTACGCTTGCATTTCGCGAGCAGAGAAGCTGAAAAGTTGAAACAGATTCAACTTTTCATCTTGCAAATCGCGCCGGACTGATTTTGCTTGCGTTTCGCTTGCGTTTCGCTCGCGTTTTCCGAGCAGGATCCGGCGTGATTTCGTGGCGTAAAAGCGAGACGTCCTGCGTGTTGGGAGCTGAAAATATGCCATGTATTGCAATGGGAAAAGCGAAACGCGATTTGCGAGCTTAAATGCTGTGTTCCGGCAGTAACGGAAATTTCTGAGTATGAGCGGCCGGCCGGCCGGCCGGCCGGCCGTGCGGACGCTTTTGCGAGGCTTATATCTCAGCAACCACTTGACCGATTTACACGCGGTAATTTTTGTAGGGTAGCTTCATTCCTTCTACCAAGTATTGGACTATTCCCGATGCATATAGGTGACCCCTTATGCACGTGCCACGTGCAAAACGAAGAGGTGTCAGTTTTGTAATTGTTGCAATATCTCGGTAACTACTTGGCCGATTGCGCTGAAAGTTGGCATGTAGGTAGGCACCCACTAGGCACTGCATATCCATGTGCCAGAGTTGGGGTGCTGCTGCACGTGCGCACGTGCAGGGGTCGTTTCCAGATCTCGAGAACGGCTGGACCGATGGCGCTCAAATTTGGTACACGGTTAGGGACCAGTTAGTAGGGTGCCGTGCACAAGTCAGTTGGGACCCATTTTGCACGTGCGCACGTGCAGGGTGCCGCTCCCAGATCTCGAGAACGGCTGGGCCGATTGTGCTCAAATTTGGCACATCGCTAGAAACCGGCCAGTAGGGTGCCGTGCACAAGTCAGTTGGAGGTACCCCCTCGAAATTTCGCACGTGCAAGACTCACCCCCTCGCTCGCTCCGTTAGTCGCCCCAAAAGGCGCTATACTGGTTATTATTGCTTAGTCCTGCTGAAAGCTGAACACTTGACCAGGTCAAGGGTCACCCACTCATCCATTTGCAGAAGTCAGCCATCCCTCAACAAATTTTGCAGCTTTTCGGTCAACGACCATTATCCCAAAGGCCATTGTCGCTCCTTGGCCCCAGATGAACCCAGTCCACGCTCAAGTTCGTTAGTCCGGAGAATTATTAACGGTTCCACCCCTTGCCCTCCCCCAATGTGCGCACGGTTTGCTTGGCTATCGATATTTGCAAATTGTTCGGGAAACATACAATGCTCTGCATCCTGTAATGCGAAGGACGTATCATATGCTCAATCATGGAAGAAAGTTTAAGTTTTGTCTGTTTAGTAGTCCCTCCTCAGGCTCCCCCGTTTTCCCGAAGAACTCTCGTCCCACATCCCTCTCAAGTCTCAGCTACAACTCCATCTCATCCATTCTCTCACAGTCTCACCGCTCGGCCACATCACAACACATCCGGCTTGGCCACTGAGACGCCAGGGAGGACGGGCACCGCCGCGGTCCTCACCGCAGTCCAATTACACAGGACCCTAATGGTGTGAGCGGCCAAACAGCACGCTCTAGTGAGCACCAGGGAACCACGCGGCGGCGTCTGGGGAACCAGGGAACCGGGAACCAGGGAGCCGGGAATCAGGGAGTCAGTGAGCTAGAGAACCACGGAAACAGAGAATCACAACCTCAGTACAGTCTGTCTTGAAAGTACCGCAGCATGGGCTGCGGCGGCCCGGCGAACTGAAGGCCGGGAGCTCGGTGGTTTGAGAGCCCCAGAGCACGTGACGGCAGTGAGCCAGGAGAGAGTGACCGGGCAGGTCGCGTGGGGTGCCGCTCTCCCTTACTCTTTCCACCCCGCTGCGGCGCCTGTCGCCCGGGGGCACGGGCCGTCTGCGAGCACGAGTGGAGAACTTGACCGGCCCGGCCAATCCCCCGGTGGCCGGTTCACCCTTGGAACCGTTTTATTCTCGACGAAAAGACAGACGTAGCCAATCTAAAAGATGAGCGCGACTGCTTGCATTGTTATCAGAACATGATGCATATTGAGCAATAATTTACGATCATGGAACGGAACAGAATAAGTATAATAAAACTGAAGTGATGATGTGAATAACAACACAACAATGTCAATGCAGTAGTTTTGTCGAAAATCTCAGATTAACTATGGGTTTAAATCTGATCGATTGATCCAGTAACTTAGGATAAAGTAATTTTGTTTCGGATTTATTTATGCGAGATAAAAAAGAAATCCCATTCTCACCACCCTTGTTGAAATTGAAACACAATAGTACCTATTTAAAGCGAAAGCCAATTGTAGTAAGATGGAATGGTAACCTTTTGCTAATAACTTAAGGAAGCCAAAGCAAACCATACACTTGGGTGTTTTCGTCTTCCTTTTATTCCATCTTATTACAAGTATAATCATCATCTTGAAAAAAAAAAAAACGTTTCGAACCATTCAAACTATAGACGGCCAATGGCTGCTACATAAAAAACAACACAAAATAACTAACACATTATACTCCTTTGTTTCCTGTTAATAAAAGTTACAGGCAAATATTTTCATTTTACGATCGAATGGCCAAGCAATTGTTCGTAGCGCCTACTTCCAGACCTAGAGGATACGATCACTTTGATAATCGTATACCAAACACGAATTATGCGTATTTGTGCGGAAGGTTACTGAGATTATGGGTAGCTAGCGGCATATTAATCTTTCAGTTCCTGAGTGCTCACTGTTCACTGTTCAGCCCAAGATGAGAGTTGAGATCATACGAGGCTGTATAACTAGTGTTTATCTTATTCGTTTAACGATCTATCAAAACTCCTCTCTTCCTCTCTCTCTCTCTCTCTCTCTCTCTCTCTCTCTCTCTCTCTCTCTCTCTCTCTCTCTCTCTCTCTCTCTCTCTCTCTCTCTCTCTCTCTCTCTCTCTCTCTCTCTCTCTCTCTCCCTCCCTCTCTTCCCCCCCTCTCTCTCTCTCTCTCTCTCTCTCTCCCTCTCCCTCCATAAGATCTGCTGAAAAATTTTAGCAGACCAACAAATGTTGCAGAGTCTAGCTAGGAAAGCAGTCCGGGAGAGTTGCGTCCATCCCCGTACCGGCAAGTGATACGTTTAGCTTATGGCAGTGCACTGGTCCGGAGTCAGAGTCGGAGTCGGAGCCGATCAGCAGACCGAAGTCAGATTAAGAGTCGCAGTCGGAACAGCGCCGTCGCGACTCAGAACCCTTTTTCTTTATATCTTCAGCTTCAAAGTAGCTGGCTAGATTTATTGCTTAACAAAGCAGGCTCTCTGCACACTGCTGCGTTGGGGGGGGGGGGGGGCTGCAACACCCCTCCACGCATGCCTGATAAGTGATATTACATCTTTTCTTAACACTTGTGATGGCGGAATGAATCAGACCTAGATATTTCAAGGTCGGGTCACTTAGGTTACGTTATAGTGTCCTAGCCTCAGGAAAAGTTATAATGCTCGCCGGCACTGAATAATGCTCGAGAGGTCACCGGTTGACCTGAGCTCTTAACCTTCACACTTACAGGATGAGGTCAAACCGATGCGTCCCTCATGGCTTTTTCACGAATAACTCGGGTAAAAAGCGACCGACCTACAGACCACGACAAAACTTTCAATATCCTCGAATTGATCAATGTTATATCTTCCCTAAAAATATGACCCTGAACCCAATTGCCTTTGACCTGTAGCCTCTTTCTCGATACCATGTCACGCCAAAATGCCGATTCCATGCATGTCAGCACACATTATCTACGCGTTTCCAGGCATTTTGTGATTGGAAACATCAGGTCCCAGCAGGTCAAATGATCAGGGCCGACCTGATCATTTCACATATCCGATCAGAAGCCGAACGGCTGTAAGGCAGGTTCCTACGGACCATTTCCATCAGTAGACGCTTAAAGCGGCCAATACTGGAAATGTTAGAAGTAGTTACCAGTCACTGTGTCTCGTAACCACGCACACAAGTTTTTGGAAGCCCTAGCTTAATCTGGGCGAAACGACGGAGGCCGCACCCGCTGCCCTCTAGCCGGATTACATGTGTAACATGTAAATGTCTGGCGAGGCTCGAAAGGGAAGCATCACTTTCCATTTATCAAAACTTTCATGTCAGGACGAGAATTACTACGCTTAGCTGGTGTCTCTGTATAAGTAGGTATTCATAAAACAGCGCCTTGTCTGTCACACTGGCAGCACAGAGAGCCCGCTCACTCGCGCCCATCCCTCTCCTCCCTCCCTCCCCCCCCCCCCCAGGGTCAGGCGATCCAGTGGCCCTCAAACCTGACCGCCCTCCGCTGCGCCGGCCCACCAGCGCCACCCTGCCATGCTGCGGTACTTTCAAGACAGACTGTACACCGCATAGCACCGGGGAACCACGCGGCGGCGTCCGGGGAACCAGGGAACCGGGAACCAGGAAGCCGGGAATCAGGGAGTCAGGGAGCTAGAGAACCACGGAAACAGAGAATCACAACCTCAGTACACCGCATCGGTACCAAGCGTCGCCAGAAAACCAATCAGTTATGTCTTGCTGGCATAAGTATCACCGAAACCTCAGGGTCCGTGATCGAGCCGAGTACCGGGTGTCACCATTACCATCATCATAATCACCAGGGTGATGCAGCAAGGAAACCAAGGTATCAGTGCCGAATGCAGCGGTGTTTCCGACAAGCTTGGGCCATACTGCGAGGGATACGATTGATCATTGTAGACACTTCAGGCTGAAGTTGCAAAATTGGTAAGTACTGGTGAGAAAAACGTGAACAGATTTCGAGCCCATACGATAAAACCAATAATATTCACTGTAATAATCTATTTATTGTCTCTTTCTATGTGCTCTCAATAACAAATGAACTACACATTCTCTCCACTCACTCGCACGCCTTTTTTACGTACGCACACATCTGTAAAATACAATAATAAGTTAAAAATAAAGCCAACGCAAAAGCAGGTCATGAGGAGTATTCACCGGCAACAATTCCGGTCATAAAACAACGAAAGATGTCTGTCGTGCAAAGGCTAGAAGAATGCACACAAAAATTATCTCAAAATCCCTCACATGTCGAATATCTACCAAGTTCTTCCGCAACTTACGCCCTTTTACCTTTGCACGACAGACTTTCAGAACCCTTAGAAACGACAGCTACCGGGCACACAAGAGCTTGTACATTCAGCGCGCTGAGAAGGCGCGTGATTGGTCTCAGCCACCGCTCTCGACGCCATCCTCTCCCTACTGGAGGCAGACCACCGCACTTTGCCCTATCCACATACACGGCAAGCCCTGCACCACTATCGGAACGCCCCACGACCCCAGCAGGCGGGGGCGAGATTCGCCGTTTGGCAACGAGTGATGCCCAGAGGGCAGTGTGAGACCCCGTAGGGAGATCCAGTAGAGGCTACCAGACAGGTACGAATGGTGACTCTCTCCACTCCAAACGACCGAGCTGCCACCGAGAGAAAAAGACAAACTGAGCATATCACCTACTGGTTCGATAGTGAGAGGACACAGGATTTACACACATACTGGCACGCCTCTCTGATAACAAATAACAAAAACAAAAATACTGTAAACGTAAATATACAATACGCAGAGTCTGGCGCCTCCTACACTGGTTGGATTGCTTCTATGACCACCGGATAATTAGGTTAGGTCAGAGCCAATAATTGATTTCATGAGAGGGTATTTTGAAAAAGAATGCCCAAAAACGAGCATCACTATCGTTGCCGAAAAATATCATACCAATATTGTCCTATCAATGCAAATCATCAAATATTTGTACGTTACTGAGGTGTGCTTAACAATTTAAAAATATGCATTCAATGTTAAATCACCAAACAAGTTCCATAAACATCAAGGTACTTGGGTAGAAAAGAGGGTACGTGGCCATGAAATATGCTAGCAATTCTTGACACCAACTACTGGCCGCACATATACCAACCAAATAATTTTGCGCGATTCGTTAGTTTGCGCCCAAGGTCCCAGTTTCGTCTGCTGGAAGCCTCAAAACAGGGGCGACACCCCGCGTCGCCGATTCGAAACTCCAGTCCAGCATTCTACTACGACCAGACGACAAAGCGGGGTCCGCCAGTTCCGACTCAGAGTCCCGAGTCGCAAGATTCACTACAATGTCCCACAACCTCCTACACCGAGAGACGCAGCTCGAGAAAAAGACCCACTAAGCTCCATCCACCGCTTGCTGCCTGCGTTCCACATCAGTTCCCTGTCCTGTTCCTAGGCGGCGCCACCGCCGCGGCCGCCCGTTTGTAAACCCTGCCGAGCCGCCCACCGTTATGACCCGCTCACATGGTGGTGATGAGGTCCTTCATCCCGGGCAGCTTCTTCTCATGAACCTTCGAGTGCTTCTTCAGAATCGACGGCTGCGTGAACCTCTTCCCGCACACATCGCACCCGAACGGCCTCTCCCCCGAGTGGGTCAGGTGGTGGCGGCGCAGGTTGAAGCCGTTAGGGAACTCCCGGCCGCAGAGGGAGCACCGGAACTCCTGTTTGACCGGATGCGGGTGCTGCTGGCGGCAGTGGCGGCGCAGCTCGGTGGCTGTCGTGAACACAAACTCGCAGTGCTTGCAGGCGTTGTCTCCCGCCTCGCTGTGGTACTGCTGTCGGTGCTCCGAGAACAGCGTGAAGCACGGGAACGTCAGGCCGCACGGCGCGCACTGCAGCGGCGCCGCCGAGGGGCCCGACCGGGTGTGTGTCTTCAGGTGATCCTTCTGGCGGAAGGCACGCGTGCAGAACTGGCAGTTGAACGGTTTCACGCCGGCGTGCACGGTGCTGTGTCGCTTCAGGTTGTACTTGTTGCGGAACTGCTTGTGACAGACGCCACACGTGAGCTCGTCGCGGGGTGACCCGTCCGTGCTGCCGGTAGAGCTCTCGTGCAGCTCCACCTCACACTCGAGTCGCTCGCTGGGGTCATCCGTGGCGGCGGCGGCCGTGTCGTCGCCCGGCTCACGTTTCACTCGCGGTACCACACGAGAGGCCGCCTGGGTCGGGGGCGGCGGCGGCTGCCGACGGCGGGAGCGAGGTTACGGTGGGCACCACAGTGATTGGGTGGGATGTTCATGGCAGGCATGAGCAGAGGTCGAAATGTGAAATCGAAATACTGACTTGCAGCGCATTTCGGGATGCGAACTATCTAGGACATCTTAAGAAATTAGAACGCGACAGCTCATAGCACACAAAAAACGCTTTCCTCTCAAAAACAAATGGTGAAAATATTTTGAGATTAACCTAACCTAATCTAACCTAACTTTTACTAGAGAAGTTAGCGCTCTTAATACCTTCTGACGAAAGCAGAAAAAAACTAAATGTGGGGGCGATCAGAAGCTCCAGCAGCTTCATTTGATAAAAACTTAAGTTTATAGCCACTCGAGTCAACATCTTGTCTGCAATTCTTATCGCGTTACAAGACCGACTCTTATCTAAGTGCTCCGACAGAAACTTGACACCTACTTCCACACAGACTGCACGTTGCACACTTATCGAACGACTCGATCGACCTTTATTCTCACCTGCAACTGGCCGTACTTTTCAGCCCGGATCTTCATCATGTCGAGGAACTTGCGCTTTATCTCCTCTCGGATTTCGAGAATCTTGGTCTCGTACGAGTCCAGTGTCATCACCACGGCGGAGCACGACATGCAGATAAACTGTGAAGGACAGGTCATATTGAGTTACTTCGTAGGCTGTATCAGAAGAGACAGACAGGCTTCAAACAAGTGTAAAATCAGTGAATAAATATAAAGGGCTCTCTGTCAAGCACACATCACTTACTGGCATGAATCATTTAAAGCTCACGTGCCTCGCAAAAATGCAACCATTATGAAATACAAGTCCGCGCACAAATATAAAACAACATACCATCAAACGAACCCAGTAAGCTACCATCCGGCAAAGCACCCTGTCGCCACCGACCCATACCTTCATCTGCCAGTGGTGAGCGGCTGCGTGCAGCGAGGTGCCGCAGCCGGGGTGCACCACCGTCTCCAGCTTCTCTGCCAGAGTCTCCTGGGTGCTCGGCAGCCGGAAGCCGTTGATGTCAACACCGGTGGGCGGCTCGGCGGCGCTCGTGATGTACGAGTCACAGAGGATGCAGCGTGAGTCCGGGGAGGTGTGCGGAGAGATGGTCTCGCCGTATCCCAGGCATCCGGCCGGGCCGCCGTGCGACAGGTATGTGCCCAGCTCCTCCATACCGCCCGAGCTGTCGGCAGGGGTCACAGGGGATGTTAGTGATCCGCCATCGGTCGACAGTAATTGGGAGAGTGTCCGCCTTATGACCCCGGCCTCACCTCCTCACACTCTACCCTGGAGCACGAATCCTGGTTGGTTTAGGTTGCCGGTGGTAGTAAATAATGTTCGATTTTTTAAACAATTTATTTGCTTTTTAGGTCATGAGGCTTTTCCCTGACTGATATTTTAACAAATCAGCCGATAGCGTGTCAGCTAATGAAGCTTTAGCATCGCTGAAAAAGAAGTAAGTATATCTTTCAAAGCCCATTTCATTATAGGTGTGACATCATATTTGAGTGGTGATATGATCAAATTCACTATTCAGGGCCAGAGATTACATATGTGGCAAAAAAAAAACTGAGCTTAGCTCTATATTTTTATATTTAGTGAATACCTAAGGAAAGTGTCTGAATATTTGCCCGAAGATCTGATTGTTGATATAAGGAAAGAAATTACCAGTAGCTTGGTGATAACTGACAAAAGAAAAGAACTAGTGCATCCAAGAGGTATCTAAAAAGCAAAAATGAGAACAAAAAGTCAGCACTGAAAAACCAGATTGCTCTATGATATGCAAAAATATATGTAAATGGTGATGAAATGCTCAGAAATCTTAAATAATGCAATAATTCAGCTGCAATTTGTATTCACTCTGGGCTTAAATAAGTTGAAACACACTTGGTGGCACTGCTCCCTGCTCAATGCAATGCTGTAAATGAATACCAGGATATGCCAAGAGAACTTCAGTTTTTGCCTTTTATCACTAAGAGTAATATCCATGATGATATGACAAGCGCCTTAGCCCTTATCCCACAAAACTTTTGAGCCCCTCTTTAGCTTATCCTTTTCCTTCCACCTAGACAAATCAGTATTTACTGGTTTAGACAAGTTCCTTGTTTCTTCAAGGATCCAAGTCTCAGAGAAAAAGACAAAGAAGTTTGGCTGCTTTGCAGCTTACAATTGAACAGGAGTCAGGACAAAGAAAGCAAAAGGCCCTGAACATTTGAACATTTGGGTACACCGTTCCCATAATAAGGAATGCTGGCAGCAACAGTGTACGAAAGCATTCCCAACTTTGGGCACACAGCCCAGGCGGTGAACTACTTTAGAAATTGGGGAACGATTTGAAACTGTGCTGGGCTTTACAATATCTTTCTCTATCAATATCAATATCAATAATCAATATCAATATCTAACTCTTTCCCAACAATACTGAGACAAATATCAGGCAGTTCATGATCGCTTTATATTTTCAGGATATCATTTAACGGTTCTTCTTGTTTTAAATAATGCCTACATTGACATAGCATTCCCCTATTTGGGTTTTTAGTTCCCAATCATGGGAACAAAAATGGGCTGTACTATTTTCTGGACAATTTGCCAGCTAGTGCTGTATGGTAGTGCTAGCAGAGCTTGTTGTATATCAATGCCGGATCAGTAGGCGGAACTATGGTCATGAGTACCCAAATATAGGAACGTTCCCATTTTTGGGAACGGAGTTCCCAAATATGGGAACGGGCGTTCCCATTTATGAGAACGGAAGGCAATTTTTCGGCCGTTCGCCCACTAAAACTCAAAAGTGCATCACGTCTCAAAAAAGTGCACGCTGATTTAAGTATCTACTAAATCTCCATAAAGTTATCTTTAATCTGACCGTGGAACAAGGAAATTGACCGTGGAATGATATTTTTAATGATTTTTTAAAAATGACAGAATGGTGGAAATATGGGTTATACGACATTTAACATGCAAGTTTAAAGGAAATAGTTCACTTTCACGAAATTATTTTTTTTGCAATGGATTTATGATTTTTTATGTTCAAAATGATCAGCAAAGAAAATAAAACCTATTTATAACAAAAGATTATTTTCTATATTTTGATATAAGAAGAACTTTTCAGTTTCTGTAAGGCACAGGCGATCCAGTATGAAAAGAGCATGGGTTCCGAAAATTCTTCAGAAACTAGAGAAATTATCGCGGCCACCGGCATTTGGGCGATCTGCTGCTGCTGAATGTCCTTATTGATCAGTACGAGAATTTCTCTTGAGTTCTCGTAGATAATTTCACTAGTTTCTGAAGAATTTTCGGGACCCATGCTCTTTTCATACTGGATGCGAATATATGCAAGGCACACATCCTGGGACGAGAAATAGAATATCTTTGCCTAGGGTGATCGTTGGGCTGTAAAAGCTCCTGATTTATGCTCGTCTCAGCCCAAGCTACGGAACTGCTATTCCAGTTCAAAACCCATGTTAAAAAGTGAACTATTTCCTTTAAGGAAAATGAAGCATTTTTTACATTTTGAGGTCAAGTATAATAATTTTCGCCTGGTTATGAAGTTTCATTCTAGCGACACCAGATGATGACATATGCAAGCGAACACGCGGACAGTCCCGAGGTAATATTGTTGACATTTGGTGTCGGGGCGATCGACCGCGTGGAACGTCAGTGATTTTACCGAACTACTGTTGTAAACTCAGTTTCAGTGGTTTAAAATCATTCAGCTGTATTTTATCAGCCCTGAAAGACATATTTTATTTGGATGCTAGCTGTTTAGCGTTGTTTTATAAGCAGTGTCATGAGCGTGGTTTTTGTCTTCGGCGTTTCTAAGCATGATCGGTTGGGGGAATTTCTCTGATATAGGTCGCTCTGTGTGGCTTATTTATAATTTTTATGCTGATTTCGATCATACGTCGTGCCCATCCTACCAGGCCTTTTGCCACTTACACTCATTAAGAAAGGAAAAAACTAGATTTTCATTGGGACTAGGTGTTTTGAGGGTGTAACATATTCAGCGTTCCCATTTTTGGATACTTCTTGTGCTCGTCAACTCTCGGTGATTAGCAGACAGGTGCTTGACATGTCTCCACCCTCGGCGCGGACGGTGGATATAGGTATGGAAGACCTTGTTGAACATCGCTGAGCGTTGTGGATTACGTAATCCTGCAGAGGGGGGCGTGCCCGCTGCGAGATCGACGGGAATAAAAGCGCAGAAGACCGGGCGAAACATGCAACGGTCTTGCCGGAAAGGTCATCTGATGATTGTTGCGTTAACAATAATTTGCGGCGTTGGACGTGATGCTTGTTAATGAAAAGAGCCCCTGAAAGGCGTCGGTGAAATCGTTCCCAATTTTGGGTACGCCGTTCCCATAATAAGGAACGCTTGCAGCGCCAGTGTACGACAGCGTTCCCAAATTTGGGCTCGCGGCCCGGGTGATGGACTGCTTTAGAAATAGGGGAACGATTTGAAACTACGATGGGCCTTACAATATCAAACTCTTTCCCAACAATATTGAGACAACTATCAGGCGGTTCACGATCGTTTTATATTTTTTGGACGTCATTTAACAGTTCTTTTTCTTGTTTTAAATAATGCCTACATGGCGTTCCCATATTTGGGTTTATCGTTCCCAAACATGGGAACGAAAATGCGTTCCCGAAAATGGGTACGCTTGACCATAGTTCCGCCTACTGGGATACAAATAACTAAATATCCATCTTTAAATTTTTCTATGAGTGCCATTTTACATGTTCATGTTCATATCCTACAGTGTTTATAGCAATAAATCAAAATAACATAGCTATTGTACGTCACCAGCTGGCCAGCCATCTGACTTTATCCAGTTGTTAGTAAGGCCCACGAAAATGCGCTCCCTAGATTGGGCATACTTCCGCTGTATCTATTTTCTTTTGTTTCTCGTTCGCTGCATTACCCAGATCCCTCTTTACTTTTTCCCGAATTTGTCCTTTATAACCCCACTGTCCCTTTTAGCCCCGTTTTACGATAATCAAAATATATTAGACAGGCTCAAGGCTGTTGATTTTACTTTGACTTTGAGCTGGTATTGAGACATCCATCAATCAATATGTATTAATATGTAAAGGAACGCTACTTCATAAATAGCAGTAACTTACCGGTTCTATTTATCATTCAGGACAAGAAACTGTATAATAACACCACCATATATTGAGATAAATCGAGATGTTTTGGTTCTTTTATTTCGGCGATAAATGATCTCGTATGATCTCGTACAATAATAAATACAAATGCGACGCAAGAGGCAAAAGCCAAAAGGTACGAGTACCGCTATTTAGCTACCATATCCTTTACTGTACCGAAAATTTTACCAAAAATACTCTCGACCTATAAAGCAAGACGCGTTTATCATTTGAAGCGGCTAAACTTGGCTCAGTAAACAGTTTTCAATGATTCTAGCCTGGCCATCGTCAGACCTATCCTCTTTCTTCATATTCATATAGCATATATATACAATGGCTGAGATGAGAGGGGTTCCGCTGGTGGAACCCACTGCCATTCGGTCATCTCTATTCTCTGATCTTCTGAGCCGCTCACGGTTCGCCTCAAATGGACCCCGAGTTCCGAGGGGGAAAAACAAAGGCCGTGTGCGCTTGTTACCCCGGCAGTTGCTGGGGTATTTCGCCACCCACCGTTTGCTGGGGGGGGGGGGGCGTTAAACGCCCCCAGCCGGCAGCCGATAACTCGAGAACCAATAGGCGCAGCGAAACGCACGAGGCGGCAAACGAAAGAACGCGACGAGACGCTTCAGATGAGCACTTTAAAGTTGAATTTTGAGGTCACATGTCGGGTCAAGGTCAGATCAAACACCTGAAATCGGGCTTTCAGCAGCATGGACTTCAAGACTTAGCAATGGGCGCCTCTCGTCATAAACTCTGTCAAAACGGTGCACAATCCATCATATAAGGCCTACAGGAGTGTCAGCTCCATGTAGGGGTCAGTCAAGCATAGGTCAGGGTCAAGGTCAGGTCAACCGGGTAGGCACATATCCCCGAAAATCAAAACTGATATTCGCAGCCTGTGACACATGTTTTATGGGTAATTTGGGGCGTAGAGCACGATGGTGACATTCATTCTATCATATGTGTACGTGTTTGGCTCAAAAAGTTCAATTTAACCCTCGCATGTGTAGGGGGGGGGGGTCGGATGGACCCCCATGGTTTTTCGCGAATAACTCGCGTAAAAAGCGGCCGATCGCGACGAAACTTTCAGTACCCTCACATTGATCAATTTTACACCTACCCTGAAAATTTCATGACCCTGACCCAAATGACCTTTGACCTGTGACCAGAGTTGTGCTCGACTCAAAAAATTTGCCGACTCGACTCATCATTCAACCTCAGAAAGCCCTGACTCAACTCTGACTCAAACAAGGAGCTGATTTTTTCCTTTGACTCGACTCATGACTCAAGCGGCTCAATGAAAATATGAGTCGACTCAAACTTGACTCAAATTTTTTGTTGAGTCAAGTGAGTTGACTCAAAATTGACTCAGATAAAAAAGCTCTTGAGCGGGGGGAGGGGGTGAAAAAGTCCGGCAACAGGGTCAGGGAAGCGGGGGTGGGGAATGAAAAGCTTGTTTCTGGAAAGTTGAGTCAGGTGACTCATGTTCCTAAATGTTTGACTCAACTCAATGTCAAAAGTTATTTTACTGACTCAACTCTGACTCAACTCAACGCCTTAAAATTTTTGTCCGGCTCAACTCTGACTCAACTCAACAGCTCAAAAATTTATCCGACTCGACTCAAATCTGACTCATTTGAGTCAGAGTTGAGTCAAATTTTTGACTCGACTCATGAGTCAAGCACAACCCTGCCTGTGACCTCTTTTCCGAGACCATGTTTGGCCGGAATCGCGATTCTGCGTATGTCGGCACGCATTAGCCGCGCGTTTGCAAGCTTTTCGTGGCTCCAAACGTTCAAACATGTGATTTGATGTTGCTTCCATGCATTAGGGTGGGTGTCAAGGTCACCTGAAGGTCAGGTCAGGTCATTGACCTTTGGTGACCTCGGGTGACCTCGGTTCACTTTTTCGAGCTGTACATGTTTCTAGGCTAGTTTTTCGAGCTGAATTCGAATTTAGCAACCATTTGAACATTTACGAAGTAGTTTTGGTGCCTTCGTAACATGTTACGAAGCTGTCAGAGGCGGTTGACACGTACTACGAATACCCGTCACGATGCCTACTGGTTGACCTGACCTGACCTGACCCGACCTGGTCTAAATGCTTAAAGACATCATCTGTGATCAAAACTAACACGATATTCGTGATCAGCACCCCGAAAACCCGCTTAGCAGCCACACTTTACGACTTTCTAGCAGGTCCCGATTTTCCCAACTTTGGGTCATTGACCTGACCTGGAAGGTCACCCAATGACCTAGGACCTTAAAATTGGGTATCATCGGCTTCCTCTCGTCACGGGCAACACGCTCGTTTTTTCCGCGAAGCTCTAGCTCGATCAGGGGCCAAACGGCAAGGGGGGGGGTCCAACCGACCCCCCCCCCCCACACACATTAGAAGCTGGAAAACGCCGCACACATGCGAGGGTTAAGAAATGCATGTATCATGGTCGTGAAGTAGTCACGAGAAATTGCCAAGATTCACTTCAAGATTTTGGAAAAATCGGAACGATAATCAATAATCGAAGATAGCCATTTGATTGTTCATGGTATTGGCAGTCAAATGGCGTTTACGGCAGGGACCGCGGATTCCGGGGGGCAGGGTGTGCAATTGCACACCCTGAAAATCCTGAGGGTGTGCAAACACCTATTTTTGCACACCCACAGTTCGTTGTGGGGGCCCATGCGGCCCTGGCGCTTGATTGTCCCAAGCCGATTCTCGAGGGCCCCAGCGCGAGCCTGATGGTCCCGCACCGGTGCCTGAAGGCGTGAACAGGTTCTAGTGTTATCTCAGGGTTTATCTCAGAACCCCACCCACGCCATTTTTAGCGCTCCCACCGGCTCTTGAGGGCCCAGGCCGATGCCCGAGGGCCCCAAGTCGATGTCTAAAGGTCTCATGCCGGTGTCTGAGTGCCTACATGGCTAGCTCAGGGATCCACGCCAGTTTCTGAGGGCCCTAACCGGCTCTTGAGGGCCCCTGCCCCCTGCCCT